AACGTAACTTTGAGGGTGATTTAGTCGTTTCAGATAAAAACAAGAAGTGCAAATCGTTGCACTTATTTGATGGCTAAATTTAAACCGTTTCTACAGAAGTTTCAGTTCTGATCCGAAAGGCTTCCCGTGATAAGTTTCACAGGTAAAAACCTTTAAATAAACGTGTTTAATGGACCCGCTCGCCGTCACGTGCGCTGCTAAAGTTGTTGCCTCTGAACTTGTTTTGCTCCAACGAGTGGGGGTCTAAACCTGCCCGAGGAGCCGAGTCTTGGTTGATGATTGTTTGGATGTGCGGTTTTGAAAACACCTCGTCTGTTTATTGGAGGAACCGGAGGAGCTGACCTCGGAGCTGACCTCTCTCCGGCTGCACCCTGTTGTCCAAATATGCTCGTGTTTAGCTTCAATAAATCCAGAACAGCCGAAACAAACACCTCCACCAGTTTCCTCTTATGTGCAGGTCTTTAAACGTATAATGAACTCGTGTGTCGGCCATCTTAGAAAGTCTGAAAACTTTCTCCGATCGAAATGTTTCCTTTAGTTTCCTTCCGTCGTCCCGCCTGAACGGGGTTCGGCTCGTTTCAAACTGCGCCTCCGACCTAAAGAACGAACAGCGTGGAGACGTCTGCTGGACGCAGGATCAGCGATAAACTCAACGTTCTGATTGAGATTACGCCTCGAAGACGTTTGTGTCCAAGCTGTGGAGCGTTCCTTCGTTCTTAACGCCGTCTAACAACAAAGTTACCGTGACGTCTTCTAAACAAGACAAAGTAGCTAAAATTGTTTAATTATTTTAGCTGTTGGTGGTGGTGAGGTATTAAAAGTTTTTTAAATTATGTTTGTAAAAAGCATATCTCCTGCCGCCTTGTCTGCCAGAGTTTTGAACTTAAATCGTTCAACAGTCAGAAGGAAAAGAAATACTTTGGTCAAGAATGGTGTTATCACTGAATGTGTTGAGGATGACTCTCAGCTACTACCACGCCAGGTTTTAGTCTAATATCTGTGGAACTCACAGAGCTACAGGTGTTTTTGTGTTAGCTAAGGTCAGTTAGCTGTGGCGTCCATCTTGAATTGGGTTGAAAAATGTAACGAGTTGTAGTTATTCGTTAAATTCTGAGAGTTTCACTTAAAATCTGTTTAGTCCAATCTGAGATATTTTGCTAACAGACAAACAGGGTTGACACTAACAGTTAATGCCAAAATTTTAAGCAAAGATGTGCTTTGACTAACACTTGAAGTATGTGTTGCGGATGACGCTCAGCTACTACCACACCAAATTTTAGCTCCGTATCTATGAAATTACACGAGGTGTATATTTTTGTGTTTGCTACGGTTGATTAGCTGTGGCGTCCATCTTGAATGGGGTTGACACTAAGTTGTAGACGTGCAATGATTAATTCCACAGCAGCAACAGGAAGTAACATTAAGAGGAAAAAAAAAAAGTCCACAAGACGTTCATCTTACAAAATGTGTTGTTTCAGTTAGTGGGAAAGTATTTTGATCCAGTCAGCCCATCTTTAAAATCAAAAGTGGCTTTAGATTTTAGTTTAGTAAATTTGAAGATTACTTCCAATAAAACTTAGGCGACCTAAATGTTTATTGTTAGCTGGATTTGTGTTAACTTTGGAAATATTGTGGAAAAACTTCAAGTTGGTAAAAGAACATTCAAAGTTCAAGGTTCTTTAGTGTCGTTAGCATCACATGTGGTACATGAGGTGGAATGAAACTCAAGGTCCCAGTCACAACCGAAAATAGCAAAAATATAAAGTATAAAAAGAAACGGTATACAAGGATCTAAGATATATGCTCAACAATAATATACGGTGTATTAAACAGCAGCCTGAACATGAGTCTGTTGTGAGCAGATGGGTATGAATACAGCAGCTTATGGGTAAGAAATCAGCAGCATGGATAATCAGCAGCATGGATAATCAGCAGCATGGATAATCAGCAGCATGGATAATCAGCAGCATGGATGATCAGCAGCATGGATAATCAGCAGCATGGATAAAGTGTCAAATCTCCAATTAAAGTGTCATTAGTGATTATCCTGGTTATGGATTCATCATGAGTCTAACAACCTCAGGGTAGAAGCTGTTCCTCAGTCTAGTGGTTCTACACATAATGCTCCTCAACCTCTTTCTTGAGGGGAGCGGGGTGAAAAGTGTGTGTGCTGGGTGAGTGTGGTCCTTCATGATGCAGGTGGTCCTCTTCTTTCATCTGGAGGTGTAGACGTCTGTGATGATGGGGAGGCTGACTCCAACATCTTCTGTGCAGCCTTCACCACTCTATGCAGAGCTTTTCTTTCTGCAGCTGTGCAGCCTCCATGCCACACGTTGATGCTGGAGCACAGGATGCTCTCCACTGCACACCTGTAGAAGGAGGTGAGGACTGAGCTTCCCAGACCAGCTCGTCTCAGCCGTCTGAGGAAGTAGAGTCTCTGATGAGCTTTCTTGATCAGGCTGGTGGTGTTGTTGCTCCAGCTGAGGTTGTCATTCAGGTGTACACCCAAGTACTTGTAGCTGGAGACCACTTCCACTGCAAATCTTCCTATGTTTGGGAGGGGTAGGTGTGTTTGTTCCTTCTGAAGTCCACAATCATCTCCTTCGTCTTCTTCACATTGATGTGAAGGTTGTTCTTTCTGCACCAGCTCTCCAGATGTTCCACCTCCTGCCTGTAGCTGGACTCATCGTTGTTTGTGATGCATCCCACCACCGCTGTATCATCTGCAAACTTTACAGTGTGACAGCCTGGATGGGTCTGTGCACAGTCACACATGAGCAAAGTGAACAGGAGGGAGCATTTAATTACTTTATATTGTAATACAACAAATATTCATCCTGCTAACATAACAGTTACAAAAGTTATTACGTTCATAAACTAATAGTAATAGCTAACAGACACAAACACAGAAGCAACAACATTATTACCATTATACACACAGTAAAAAAAAAATATTATCATATACTACCCATATATTCATTCAACCTTTATTTATGCAGGTTAATCCCATTGAGCCTCGAGGACTCATTTACAAGAGAGACTGAATATATTTATTCTAATATGATACAACATATGATGTAGTAAAATGCTTTGTCATGCTACGTCAACTAGTTTGAAAAGTTTTCCATTTTGTGGTCGTCCAATATTCAAAAGTTAGCAACTTATTCTGGCTTAATCTGTAGATTAAATACTTTTTAAAACAAAGAAGTTGATGTTGTTTATAGTGGAAGTTTCTTTTAAAGCATTTCAAAAAGCCTGATGTAGTTTGTCACCATCCCTCAGTCATGTTTTTTTTTTTCTGCGTTGAAGCTTCAGGAACAAAAAAAGGAGCAAAAATGAACAACAACACACAAACCGAGCTTCTTTTTCCTAGAAAAAACTGGTCTTTTGTGTCGTTTATCTACAGTGCTGTGCAGAAGTCCTGAGTCAGATGTTTTTTTTCTCCAAAGCCGCCAAACTTGTATTTTTAAACAGTCCTGATCAACTGTTTCTAAGCCGTGTACAGGAATGTTTGGTGGCGTTATTTTAAGTATTTAAACTTAGATCACTGAATTATTCAGGCCTTTAAAAACCTCCTAACTCAAGGGATGAACTGCTTGCATCAATATATAGTGGACAATTTAACAGACAGTTCTTTAATGGGATTTTTAGTATTTTTGTTACCAGCAGCATCTCCCAAAGAGATATAAAGGTAAAACAGTCTGGGGTTTTATTTTATATAAAACTTTGTATAAATTTAAAATATGGTCAGTTTCTTATGTATGTCAAGAAATTGTTTCTAGTGATCTCCGTTTAGGAGTTAAAGCCTGATTTCCTCCTGACATTTAGCAGCTGCTGTTCTAAACCAAAGTGTCAACAAAAGAGACGATCGTGTTTGGAGTGGCACTCTTACAAAGATGTAAATTAGTTCAAGAGTCTTTTCAGAAAGCTCAAATAAAAATCCGTACGGTAACGTTAAAAGTTGGCTCTATTTTCCACACCAGTTTAAAACGATGACATATGAAGTCGTTCCCATTAAAGTGTCCCCTTCAGCAGAATACTACCTCGCGGGTGATGCAGACGTTTTCTAAAGGACAGAAGTCCAACCATTTAGGAATGCGCTGAACTTGATCGCCGCTCCGTTCGACACTACGGAACCGAGCTGTCCGTTTTTATTAAACCCAACCCTCAACCGTTGACGCATGAGACTTTTTACATTTATTTTGCGTGTCACATTCCAAATCTATGAACTAATGACCACGTTTCCAGTTCATAATCGTTCTCCTTTGTGCTCTAATAACACACGGTATATGCACAGCACAAAAAGTTAAGACGTTTGTAATCAGTTGATTATATTTTTATTGTAATTATGCTTCTTACCAACAAATCTTATACCATTAAAAGGAAAATGTTTATTTCCCCTTAAATGGTGCCACAATTTTCAATAAAGTGTGTATTTTGTACCTACTCTATGTGACCAAACTGCTGAGCTGCATGAGGAATTGGTGCCAGACTGACGTGGCTGTGTATGGTTCTTCCACATACTGCTGAGGCCCTTATTTATATGAATACATTATTAAATTGCCTGTATGTTTTGTTTCTTCAGGCTTCAATCATCCAAATCTAAAAAAACTACACAAAACAATCTGCTGCTCAACCTTCAGATGCTTCTCCTAACAAACGTGGCACCATTTTGGGGGAAATGAGCAGGTGGTTACAACAACAACTAATCAACCAAATGCGCCTACGTTTTGAGCTAATTTGAATTAAAACACCTTTTATCCTCTGATGGGTCCAGTTTGGTATTATATTTATTCTACTTGTCAAAACTACAGATTCAGTAGGGTCTCGGTTGTAGTTTGACCAAATCAAAGTCAATGGTTCTTGATTTGATGAAAGCGTTTGTGATGTTTTATAAACTCCATAAGTCTGGCTCAGTCAGATGAGCAGCATTTTTTCCTTAAACCGTAACAGAGCTTGTTCTACAGAAATTTTCCCCTGGTGTTGACAGAAACGCAACAAAGTACACGGACACACCCTCCATGCAGGTAGTTAGACACCTTAAAGCCCCGCCCTCTTTCAGGTGGAAGCAAAAAGCTCCGCCAGCCTCCATCCATCACCAGAACCTCCAAGTCCCACACAGAACTGAACGTTTAACCCTCATCAAACAAAGTAAGTCTTTTAAATTTGCTTATTAAATTAATTCTAATCAGATTATTTACCTGGATTATACACAAAATGCACTTGCTTACGTATTCATTTGGATGAATTTAGAAACACTAGTTTGATTAAATTCAATACTATTTGTAAATATGGGGGCTTTTAATTTAGCAGCTTTAGTTATGAATTCAAATCTTTTCTAACTTTTATTAACTTTTCCCTTTTTGTTTTGTTTCATCTTGGCAGAAATGGAGCGAACGCTGACCCTGTTCTTCGCCACGCTGGTGGTTTTGGTGACATCGGGCGTCCAGGCACAGCTGTCATATGCCACGAATACGACGGTTCGTTTTAATTCTATTAAACATTGGTCTACAGCATCAAACGAGATTATCTAATGAACATTTAAAAGCCTGAATGATCATTTAAATGAACTACAAGGCCTTTTAAATGTGAATGTTTCGTTTCTGCCATTCAGAAATAACGAGTTTTACAAACATAAATTTAGTTGGAATTAGTATTTTTTACACACAAACGTGGAATTTTATTTTGTGAACAGGTTAAGCAGACATGTTCAAATCAAAAGCCAAGATGTGCTCACAGGACAGACTAAAACGATCCAAAACACACAAGTAAAGGAGAAAAATCAAATATTCTGTTAGCTTTTTTCATTTGCAGTGTTAAAATGTAACCGATGGTTTACGCAGCGCTTAGGGCGACTGAGAATATCTCAAAAAGTTATTCATTAGCAGCAACTCTGACTCTTTATTGTAAACTTCCAGTGGTTGATGTCATTTAAATGCCCCGAGCCGTAAAAACCCGTTCCTTGTTTTCTCACTCCACCTCAAAAGGTTATCGTCTCTAAAACTGGAAGTTAGATCATCTATTAACCTGGAACCTCCACTGCAGCAGTTTATACAGTTAACGCGATAAAAGGCCATCAAATATAAACGTTATCTGCAGAAGTGAAGTGGTTTAATTGCAATAAATGTTTGTGTCTGAAGCAGGTTAACGTCACCGGGACAGGATGTGGGTCCAGCAAACTGTGCGTGGACACGCCAAGCGGCTGTGACCCTACAGGAAACAGCAGCTGCTTCTTTGGCTCCATAAAGGTCAAAAACGTGACGACAAACCAGTTCTCCTTCCAGCTGAGTGGAAACTCCACGGGATACGTCGCTCTGGGGCTCACCGTGAATTCTTCTGCGGTACGACACAAACGCATCCTCTGATCGCTGCAAAATGTTCAGTTCTTCTTAGTTTTTATACAGTTTTTCTTACGTGCAAAAAGACAACAGCAGACCAACACGGTGTCATTATCTTCTTAAAAAAAAACCCCAAATAGATAAGATTTAAAAATCAAAAGCTAAATAACAGAAATTTTTATTTTTTTTAAACGTATTCATTTTTTAGCCAAGCCTGACTATCACTTAAACATGTTTAACAGGGAAAGCTCATTTTGAAAGCTGTGATTAATTGGATTTTGACAAGAAAAACAATATTTTGTCCCAAATATGAAGCTAAGCGCAACTATTTGAACTTCAATCTGATTTCTTGTTAAAACTTTGTTTTATCTTCACAAAGACTTAAAGTGACGCTGCATCAGTGATCACCAGCATGGCACAAAATATAAATATATTTGTACTGAGCGTAGGATGATTCCTCATCCTAAAGAGTAACAAAAACACAAACACGGTTAACGGTACATAAATAAATCTATACAATAAAACGTAATGTTCATGTTTCCTCATTCAGAGTTTTACTGAGCTCAGTCAAAATTCATACATTCAAACTTTATTTACATCTCTCTTGTAAATGAGTCCTCGAGGCTCAATGAGACTAACCTGTATAAATAAAGTTTGAATGAATTTACACCAGTTAGTCTCTTTGGCAGCACAATGGCTCAGTGGTTAGCACTGTTGCCTCACAGCAAGAAGGTCCTGGGTTCAATCCCCGGTTGGATCTGGGGTCTTTCTGTGTGGAGATGGCATGTTCATCTCGTGCTTGCTTAGGTTTTCACCGGGTACTCTGGTTTCCTCCCACAGACCAAAGTCTGCCTTCAGGCCCCGGCCTCCCTTGCAAAAGAGCTCTGTGATCTCAATGGGATTTGGCTGCTTAAATAAAGGTTAATAATAATTGAGTCACGAGGACTCATTTTCAAGAGAGACCTGTTTTAAACAAAACCACAGATTGTGAACAGTCATAAAATGCATATAAAAAAAATAAAAGTAGTGATATAAAACAAAATAAAAACAAGCTACATTATAAAACAAAATAAAAACAAGCTACATTATAAAACAAGGTAAAAAAACCAAACTAAGAACAACTGTGTTGGTTCTTTGCTATGAACGTAGCAGTTGTTTAAATCTCTTAGAGAGGCCACAGTCAAAGTCGACAACTTCAGATCTTTTTGCAAGGTGTTCCAGGAAACAGGAGCAGAGTAAGAGAAGGCTCTTTTGCCAAATTCAGTCCGCACTGAGGGGGCACTGCTGGTAATGATGTCCTGAGAGTGCACGCTGTAGCTGCACTGACAACGTGACATGTAGGAGGAGATGTATGAAGGCAGCAGACCAAGAAGTGATTTAAGGATGAAAATGTACCAGTGAGAGAATCTGCATGAAGTTAATGGTGACCAGTTAACCAGTGAATACAGGGTGCAGTGGTGGGTACGATAATCACAGCCAGTTATGAATCTTAGTGCACCATGATAGACAGCATCCAACATCTGCAGGGTTCTTGTAGGAGCGTTCATGTAAATAATGTCACCGTAATCAATGGAGGGAAGGAAAGTAGCAGTTACAAGGCGTTTCCTAGGGTTCAGAGTTAAACAGGATCTATTTCTAAAAAAGAAACCCAGTTTTGCTTTTGATTTCTTTATCAAATTTTCAACATAAGGCTTAAAAGAGAAATGTCTATTGACCAAGATTCCCAAGCAATTGTAAGAATCGACAAACTCAAAAGGGACCCCATTCGTACGTAGATAAGATAGGAAGGACTGCTGGTATCAGCTTCCTGTTTGAAAACAATAACATCCCTTTGGTTTTGTCAGCATTTATTTTAGCACCAGTTTGAGACAGAACAAGTTTGACTGAATTATGTCAAATGCAGACTGTAAAAGCTGGAAAACCTTAGCAACTGATTTAGCTTGACAATAAACAACTGTGTCATCTGCATAGAAATACAATATGCGTTATGAAATTATCTAACCTACATTACTTATGTAGAATAGATTGTAAAGAGAGTGCGTCCTAAGACTGAGCCTTGTGGTACGCCATTAGCACCAAATTAAAATCAGCACCAAATGCAAACATCAGTTTCACATTTATGAATTTAGTGTCATAATTACAATGTCAACAAAGAAAATAGAATATTTGGTGTAATACGATAAAATAAAGGTAGAATATGTCAGCTTTATGGATTGCCATGAAAATACCCTCTTTTTTTCCCTTTTGTTTGTTTAGCTGTTTTAGCAGGACTAAAAAGTTTGATACATAATTAATAAATAAATAATAATAAAAATACAGATAGCTGTTTATATTTGAACTTTTGGATAAAGTATATAGTTATCCAATCAAAGAATTTTATCTTTATTATGGCCTCAAAGCCGTTTTATGTTGAAGTAAAAGTGGCACACAATAACATAATAATAAGTTAGCATGTTAGCTAAACAAAGTCAAGGCAATATTTGGAGTTTGACTCTGAATTTAAGATAAATGGATAAAGTACATTAAACTAATATTTAAAAAGAGAAATAAAAAATTAAATTAAACTATATTAACATCTATAAGTCTTTTGGGTGCAAAACTAACATAATAGCAAATTTAACAAACAGGTCAAGCAAACTAGCAGTACTGTATGTCCCTCCTGCAAACTTTTTTAAAATGATGCAGATTACTTTTTGAACAATATTTCTCAATTATGTTTGGAAAATGTTGAAAATTGAAAATGTGTTTTTTGCACAACTTCAAGTTTTTGCATAATATTTTCAAAAGTTAATGTAGAATTCACTAACCTATAAACATTTAAGTCACCTGAGCCTGGTCTCCAAATATAATCAACTTTAAAATGAAGCCACTTTTGATTTTAGTTATTTTAGGCTACATTCAAACAGCTTTCCTACAAAAAGAAACACATTTTGTAAGATCATTTTGCTTCGACTTTTTAAGATTCTTAATTTTACTACCAGTTATTGCTGTTTGCTTTCCAACCAGGCCACTTATAAGTTAAAGAGATATCCAGTAGATAATTAACTTTTATTTACACTGCAGTTAGATATTTTAATAAGATAAATTCAGACATCCATGGTAGAACAAAAGCACACTGAAACTGTATAAAGTTGCTTGTATGAGGAAACAATTTTAACAGATAAAAAAAAAATAGACAAATAAAACTGTCGATTTTGGATCATGTTTGTGTTTAAAGCGCAAACAGCTCCCTCCAAAGTAAATATACTTAGTTTTAAGAGAAATGGATATAATCTTATGTACACTCAAATGGGAAACTTAAAAGGTTTTGTTTATAAAAAGGTGCAAAATCCAACTGCAGGTTTCCATTTAATTCATAAGAGGAAGTAAGATTCTGGATTGTGTTCACAATATTTTATCACAGGTTCAATTAAAACCAGGAACTGAAGCCGTAATACATAAAAGTTTTCTTTAGGCTTGTAAAATAAGAAAAGTTGGAAACGTGAGTATTGTTTGGAGAACTTTATCCCTTTATTTACTTCTTCCTGGCTACTTACCGCCACGTTCAGGATGTTAATCTTTGTCAAACGCGTCTGTTTCAGGGCTCCACTTTGCTCTTTGCGTGCGCTCGCAAAGCCTCAAACAACGCGTCGATCATCTTCCTGACCTCGCTCATGAACAACGCGGGTGGAAATCTGACACAAGGCAACGCGGTGAGACCTTCACTGGATCATGATGATGATGATGGATGTGGACATGTACTCAAACACAAACCCTGACATGAATAAAGTTGGACGTTCTCGAGTCAATCTTGAAAACTACAAGAAGAAATGTCCCATCAGAAATTAGAAACAGCTCGTTATTTTTTTAATTCTACCAACAATTAATCCTCTGCGCCTTGGAAAACAAACACGAATGGCTCTTGTTTCATGTTTGCAGATGGTGACAGAAATTCGAGGACTGGTAAATAATAACCAGATCCAGTGCGAGTTTGATGTTTCGGGGCTGAACGCCACCAACTCCACCTTCCTCAAGAGCAGCCAGGACACCTCCTACGTAATCATCCTCGGCTCTGGACAACTAAACAATGGTGGGTATATTTTATTTTACAATGAAATATTAACCCTCCGGCTGCCCTTGGGTCAAAATGCCCCACGATGCCTCAATTTTTCCCTCATGGGTCTTTTTGACCCAAGGGCAGCAGGAGGGTTAAAGTAAACAACTGTGTTTATAGTTACCGCCTCTTAATTTCATTTTTTCAGATGGATCTCTCGGGACCTTGACTAAAATCCTGAGCAGCCCAACTCTGGACCTCAGCAACCCGTCAGCAAACGTAGCCAGTACCACCACTGCACCCACAAGCACCACAGCAACAACACATACCACAACATCAGGGACGGACCGGGCGCTCTTCTCCGAAGGTAAACGACACGATTTCAACTTGAAATTTTTACTTAACTCACATTAACTGCACAATTATATATATGTGTATATATATATATATATATATAATAAAAACACAGATTTATATTAGCAGTTTGGAGCAAACTCCATGAAACATTTGGCAGCGTTTTCCTTCCTGACCCGACAGAGGCTCAACGCTGCATCCTCAGGATTACGAGACCGCGGCACTGACCTTGTTACGTTTATAATTAATAAGTTTCTTTAAGTTATTTTCTTTGGAAAATTACCAAATTTGATTTGGTAAGTTTATGCACGTTTATTTAAAACTTTAAAAAAATTACATAACCATGGGCATCAAAACTCAACCGAAAAAACAAACAATGTCCATTTTTGTACAATTTAATACAAAACTTGAAAAAACATAAACTGTTCTTAAATACCAGCATATAATTCTACATACTGTAAATATTATCCTCTCCAGAGTCAAAGCCAGTAAAACATGACTAAATAAATAGTTAAATAAATTTCGGATCCAGTGACATACCTGGAGTTGTGTTTTTGCAGCCAAACACTGTGAAATGACATTTAAAGTTCTTCCCCAGCATGTTTTTACTTCTTAGAAACGTTAATCCTGTTTCCCTGCGCATCACGCGCCTCCTGTTTTACTAGGACTCTTCTGAAAACACGGTTTTGAGGATGATTCAAAGAACTGGAGTTTCCCGTATTAAGAAAACAAGCTAAACCCTTTTCACGGTTACCGGAGGTGAACCTCTTTGTTGATGTTGTACACATCAAAACTAAAGTTAGATTTGGAATTTTGCCTTTAGTGTTTTTTACAGTTTATAAAAAACACTTAATAAAAGCCTAAAATAATTTTGTCATAGGAAGTGCTTTATGCTCAATCATCCAGGTAGATAACAACAAAAAAGATTAAATTGTGTCATCTGGACCAGTTTAAGTGAGAAACGTTTCGTCCCCCATCCAGAGGACTTCCTCAGTCTACGTCTACTCAGTTGTCCTCCTGTTTCTGTGAGTAGCAAGTTGGCCAGCTGGCCTAAAACGTTTGATTGTTGTACAAGATGATTGATTGTTTTGGATGGGTGTGTTTTGCACGTGTTAAAAGCCTGCCTTTAGGAGGTTGGCTTGAAACAGCACTGAAGGCTACCTATGGGACAGATAGTTGGCATGCCGTAGACTGAGGAAGTCCTCTGGATGGGGGACGAAATGTTTCTCAAATAAACTGGTCCAGATGACACGATTTAACCATTTTTGTTATTTCTTCAGAGGATTTTGGTCAGAGGTTATGGAGTTATGGATACATTATTACTAGTGTTCTTTCCCTTAAAACAAACAACCAAGTTTTCTGTCAAAACACTCTCTTATCGTGCCCGTGGACTGTATCTGTGAAGACCAGGAGTGCCATGTGAGATTACTGCTGGCTTCAAGGACACCCACTCAAACCTTGTCAAGCTGAGGATATAAAAAGCGAGCGGACAATACAGCATTTCCAGATCGTTGTGACTGGGTTTCATGTGTATACATTTAATGCATATTGGTGTGAACTGTTCCTATTTCTGGTCTTGCAAGTAAAATTGTGCCGAAGATAGATCTTTACCTGCTGTGTGTGAGTGTGCTTCATTTGAGTAAACATCATTTAGAGTGTTTTCCTCTTAACAATTTGGTCCTTCTAGCCGGATACAACAGCTTCCTCGAATCCAGGTTTGGACCTGAAACTGTACGGGGGTGTCCGACACACGAGACTCCTGAACAGAAAGTCCTCTGACCGAATTGTCTTCTAGAGAGGCCAGGATCTTCTGGTTTTAGTTAAAACATTTTCCTCTAACACTTTTTAAAATGTTTCCCTTCAGGTGTGCTGCTCCTGATGGGCGTCCTCTCGCAGTTCGTCCTGAAGATGGCCTGACTGGGTCCCGGTTTAAAGCTTTAACCGGTGAAGACATGATGAAGGAAGCTGGTGGTTAAAACAGCAGCAACTGAGTGTTTTTCTGTCCAAGAAGTGTTTTTTTTTTCTCCTGAACTAATCTTTACATGTTTTTTGCACAACAGTAGCCAAAAGATGAAGAATCTAGTGATGTACAGTCTGCACTCAATCTTTAATAATCGAAGAAAGAATGTCTTAATTTTGTACTTCTTATCTAATAAAGTTTATACATAGTATTCTATCTGCTAATAACCACCTACTGTTTATATTATCTTGTGAATACCTACAGTCGTGTGTGAAGTCCTTTAATAACTTGTCTGTTGATTCAAGCTGACGTTCAGCCATCATTCTTTGAGAAGGACCGGTTCAAGGTTCTGTTTGGTTACTTCAAATGATTCATCAGGAATTTCCCTGTTCATCAGATGAACTGTATAATCTGAAAAACAATAAAAACGTGGCCTTGACTCGTTTGTGATTTGACGGCATTTTGCGTGACTGGTCGCGTCTTTGGACGTATGGGCGTGGCACAGACGAGAAAAAAAGCAGCCGCCGGATGATTTAACACAGACCCCAGGTTTTAGCAGTAAGGTTGATTTTGGGCCTCGTATTTGACAATGAGGACGTTGCTTCAGTCAGTCCTGGTGAAGAAAGAGTTGAGTCAAAAGGCAAAGCTAACAATTTACCGGTGCATCTACGTTCCAACCCTCGCCGGCTGAAATGAGCTTCCTTCGTTTGACAGCCGGGCTCAGCCTCAGATATGGGGCGAGGAGCTCAGAGTAGACTCCACATCGAAAGGAGTCTGTTGGGGTGGTTCAGGCATCTGATTAGGACACCTCCTTTCAGAAGGTTTTTGGGCACAATCTGGGGAGAGCCATACCTGAGAGCCCCACAGAGAATGTTTGGGATGAAGACTTTGTGGTCCAAATCTCCCGTCATCAAAGATCTTGGTGAAACGTTAACTCAACTCTAGACGGAGATAAATAAGACATTGTAGAAACGATGACTGAGTGCTGCAATCAAAACCTCTGACCTGGGAAGGCCTTGAGTTCACCCAGGAGGAGCAGGAGTCACTAGAAGAGGAAGGTCTTGGTTTCTCTCTGGACCGCACCACAAATAAAGTTGTGCGAACATTGACACTGGTCATTTTGGGCTCTCCTACCCTGTGGGTCGGAGGTGAAACGTTTGGAAACCAGACTTAAAAGTAAAACTGCAAAATGAACTCCTAATCGAGGTCCTCGGAAGTCAGTAAACAGAAAAGAGTGCCAGTAAAATGTTTTACCGATTAAGCGATAAATGAAGTAGAAGACGGAAACTCCCACGTTTGGGTAAACATAACCTCCTGCTGCCCTTGGGTTAAAATAACCTAATGATATGTTGGAGGGTTAAACTTTATTTGTGCCATTAGCAAAAGATCAAATGTGGTAATGAAAAAAAAAAAACTTTTAATTATTGTAACATTTCCATGTTTTAAACTTTGTGTGAGCTATATATATATATATATATATATACATATATATATATATATATATACACATATATATATATACACATATATATATATATACACATATATATATATTATTGTAGTCAAACTATGGCAGGTATTGCAGACAAGATAATTGGTGGTCTAACCTAACAAAGTTAAGTCAGGTCCTTTGGATGAATTCAAAAATATAAAACTTGTTGAAACGTTCACCTTTAATCCAAAAGACTTCCGTCAGTCTGAGGAGCTGTAATAAGTTCAGTCTTATCCAGAACTAGTTGTTCACACGATAAAGGACCATCAGCCTAACGATGGATCGTTAGTGCTCTGACGGCTGCTTGCTATTCACAGAGGGCTGAGTGTAATCACAGCATTGCAAGATGAAGTTGAACACGGAGGCCTCCGCCCGTTTAATGGACGGACGGTTTCTCTTCACAAAGATGGCCTCCTTTACTCCTCTCTCAAACCATCGTTCCTCTCTATCCAGGATGTGAACATCTTCATCCCTAAGAGTGACCGCTGGACTACAGACGAGTGTAAACTGCAGAGTCCTGGCCTGATGACGTTGCTCTTCTGTGCTGGACCATCCTTTTGGCCAGTGGCCGTTTAGTTTCCCCCATGCATGACTGATCACAGCCCTGGCACTGAACAACATACACAACATTACTCTGTTTTTTCACGCCAAGTTAAGCAGAGCGGCGTTAAAAATCTCAATACCTGGAACAGTTTAAATTTCTGCAGAGGTTTTTGAAGTGACGCCACATTTCTGCTGTTTGTCTTCTGCCGATGGGAAGTTTCAACGAAAAAAGGATGCGGTTAGCAGAAAATGTTTAAATTTTAATTGAATATTCGCTTGCAATTTTATTCCATGTAAACTTAAAAGTATATAAAAAAAGGGACAAACATATAAACCACAGGGTCAAAAACAGACTAAAAGAAAAGCACAGAAGCTAAAAACCGTCTTAGTGGCGTCCGTCGAGCTGTCGTCTCTGAGAACATGCCCAGTCCGTGCGTCTTCGCCTGAGGACGAGTGGGGGGGGGGACAACCTACAGCTAACTACCCCACTCAGAGGTTCTGAACAACGGACTACAGATCTTCAGGGGGAGGGGGTGACAGGACCATGCTCGTGTTTTTATCTACATAAGTGTTGAAATCAGAGGCCGAGCTCAGAGTTTACGCGTCGTCGTCGCCGTTCACGCTGTAATTGTCGTCGTCGTCTCCTTCCACGTGCTCCCCTTCCTCCTCCTCCTCCTCGTCCTCCTCCCTTTCTTGACTCTTCACCTGCAGACGCGGCAGATCGGTGAGTTTAAGGAGAATTCGGGGCGATGTTGAACCACATTTTGCATTTTTAATTGTTCTCACCTCTTCCTCCTCCAGCAGGTCTCCCTCCTCCTCCTCCTCTTCATCGGAGTCGTTTGCGTCCTGGTTCTCCCTCTCTCTCTTTGAGCCGTCGTCCTTCTTGTTGCTGGAGTGCGGAGGCGTCGTCACTTCTCCCGGCTCGGTTTTTACGCTCTTAGCTTCTGGCGAACACGAAGACGCGTTAATCAACAATCAGCAGGCGTAGCGCGAGAGGTCAAAGGTCGCGGCCTGAGGAACCGTGACTGAAAGTCGTCGCGGGGTCACGTTTAAACCCCAACGAGCGGCGTTCTTACCAAACTTCTTCGTGTGGTCCTTCTCCATGCGCTCCAGGCTCTCCAGCAGGTCGTCTACTTTGCTTTTAATCTGGGTCAGCTCCCTCTTGATGGTCTGCAGCTCGTCCACCCTCACTGCAGGGACAGAAAAGGGTTTGGAGGACCAGCTCTACTGAAACCTGACCCCTACAAAATAAAGGCCTGGCACTCCACGAATGACTGCGTATCGCCTTTCGTGTCAGCGTTTTACACGAAGATGTTGAGAAACGAGCTGTGAAGGACTCGGCTGCTCCTGCTCTGAGCTCAGCATCAGTAAAAACGAGACCGTCAAATGTAGCAACGTCGTCAGTGATTACTTCCTGGAGGGCTCATCAAAATCTGCACAAGATGTTTTGCTAACAGAGCCGACTCCAAAGAGCTGAGGGAAAGATTTCTAACAAAAATCTGCTGAGATCTGTTGGGCTACAATAAATCTGATTTTTATTTATTTATTTTTACCTAAATGAGACTTTTATTTTATGACAGTCTGAACGTGACAAAATTTTTTTTTTTAGTTTTTTCCAACTCCAACCCCGCTCTTTTTCATACGTGCTACTGAATCAGATTAATCTCCGAAGGTTTTCAAAGCGACCTCAGTCTGAACGTTCATGTAGCGTTTCATCAACCTTTACGTCAGTGAGGTAGGGGTTAGCAGATTGAAGAAATTATCGATAATCTGCACGTCTTCAGATACAGAAGTTGCTTCGTCTTTTTTTAATTTGTCACGTTCTGGATGACTGAGAATCTACACGAATGTGATACCAACGTGATGGGATCGATACCCGAAGTTTGACTTTCAGGACAAAGCTCCCATTCCAGAAGGCAAATTCTGCACTGGAGAATGTGGGAAGCAGCAAAACAAGCCTGGCAGATAATTTAATCTGCTCTGATTGAACAACTTCATGTTCTGTTCAGTCCCTCGTCGTCCGCCTGGTGAGTGATAATCATCCTTACTAACGACACTCCGCTCAAAAAGGTCCTGAAAATGTAACGGAGTACATTTTCTCAATACTACAACGGTAGTAGAGTTGAACTGTATTTGCAGTTGTGTTATTCGGTAAATGAGCGCAGGTCGGGGCGCTTCAGTAAACCTGGGCCACAAACTCAAACAGCTTCAGACAAATCACAGGGTGGAGAGGATCCTCACTGGTTCTGGAAGACGAGACTCTCTGGCTGCTCCTGGACGAAGAGAAGCTGCTTTTAGTTCTCCGGCTGCTTCCTCCACTCAGGCTGACCCGCGGCCGTTTGGACGGAATCACGGCCCGCGACAGGGGAGGAGGCGGGGCGGGGACACGAGACGGGTACGAGTACATTCTGCATCAAAGAGAAAACATTGAGATCAAACACAAAAACACACATTCATGTGCTCTTTTTACAAAAGGAACATCTCATAACTTCTGCACTTTGTCATGTTAGCCGTTTTTATACCAATACTGTGTTGTTGTAGCTGTTTGTATATCAAATACTGTCGTTTTAGCTGTTTGTATCCCAAATACTGTCGTTTTACTAGTTTGTATATCAATACTTTGTTTTAGCCGTTTGTATACCAATACTGTCGTTTTAGCCGTTTATATACCAATATTGCATTATTTTAGCTCTGTATACCAATACTGTCATTTTAGCTGTTTGTATACCAATACTGTGTTGTTTTACCTGTTTGTATACCAAT